TGCCATCTTCCTTATATACTAAATTCTCATACATACATGAGACTGTTTCTGTATTTTCTTTTCTATTCTACTTACTATGCTTATCTCAATACCATACAGATTTTTTTCAATACTACACAGATTATATAATTTTATAATAGGTTTCATATAGGGCAAATCCCACCCCCTTTATTTCTTTTACTAAAGCATTCAGCTGCTAACCAAAGATTGGCAGTTTGAACCCACAAGATGCTCAGTGGGAGAAAGATGAGGCAGGCAGTCTACTTCCATAAAGATTTACAGCTTTGGAAACCCTAAGGAGCAGTTCTACTCTGTCCTATAGGGTTGCTGTGAGTCAAAATCAACTTGATGACTGTGGGTTTGGTTGTGCATTATTTCTTTTATAATAATAAAAAAAAGGTTTAAAAAAACAAACAAACCATTTTTCATTGGTTCACTGAGTTCCAGACAATAGGGAGGTAAAACGGAAATTATCCACAAGCAAGACAAACAACATAGGAAATGAGGAAAAGGGATGGGGGGAAGGAAAGAAAAATGTTCTCAAGATGGTATTTTTCCCTGTGAATTATGCCATATACAAAATAAGATCTACTTTGTACATTCAGGATATCTCAGCCACTGTCTAAATAAAAACTTCCTTATAATGCTAGGCCGTTAGCAATGGCAGGGACTAAATCCAAAGCCACCCATTGCCATCAAGTCGATTCCGTCTCATAGCAACTCTGTAGGCTGGAATAGAACTGCCTCATAAGTTTTCCAAGGCTGTAAATCTTTACAGAAGCCTACTGTCTCATCTTTCTCCCATGGAGCAACTGATGGGTTCAAACTGCCAAACTTTTGGCAGCCCAATGCTTTAACCACAGTGCCACCAGAGCTCCTTATGGAAAGGACTGTTGTTGTTATGCGCCGTCAAGCTGGACCCAACTCATAGTGAACCCTCCTTGGGTTTCCGAGGCGGTATCACTAAGGAAGTAGATTGCCCTACCTACCTTCTGAGGAGTGGCTGGTAGGTTTGAACTGCCAGCCTTGTGGTTAGCAGTCAAGTGCCTTAGGCACTATGTTACCAGAGCTCCCATGGAAAGAACTACACTAACATAAAATGAGAAATAGAAACCTAAATCAATGTGAGAAAATGAACATGGACTAGAGAGAATAAAGAATCTGATGTGAGAAAACGAAATATTTGTATTCTTATGGATCCAAGTCTGAGGAAGTTAAACCTCTGAACTCAGTGTATCCATGTATGCTGGTTCTTCCTGCTACTGCTGTTTACGGTCACATGATATACTGTATGGATTATAATCTGTTGCCATGGATTTAATTCCAACTCATAGAGACCCTATAGGACAGAGTACAACTTCCCCATAGGGTTTCCAAGGGTATAATCTTTATGGAAACAGACTGTCACATCTTTCTCCCACAGAGAAGCTTGTGGGTTTGAACCAACCACCTTTAGCAGCAGAACTACTTAATCACTGTACCGCTAGGACTCCTTGCATAGATTATAGAGGAGTCAATTCTGTAGAGAATTAAAATGGCAGAGAAAGGAAAAGTATGATTAGAAATTATAGTAATCAGTAACTGGAAATTTAATTTTAACTAGAGGTTGGTAAGCATTAAAAGGGAGTTCTGGTGGCATAGTCCTTAAGGCATCTCACTGCTAACCAGAAGGCTGGAGGTTTAAAGCCACCAGCCACTCCTCGGAAGGAAGATTGGGCAATCTACTTCAGAAGATATACCACCTCGGAAACCCAAGGAGGGGTCGCTATGAATTGAATTGACTTAGAGAATTGAGCAAATAAATGTCTGCAGTAAAACATTCACGCTAAACAGTATAACTTTTATATGTAACCATTGTGCACAATATAGTTATACTCAACTTATTCTACCTGTTTTTCATAGTAAAGCTAGCATTACACAAGTAGGAAAAGCTGCCAGGTGGGCAAGTATGCTTTTAAGTCAATGGGTAATTAAATTACAATGAATTTCTGTTCCTGGTTGAAAGATAAGGAGCTCTGGTGTCCTAGTGGATAAGACATTGGGCTGCTAAACTGGAGGTTACTGGTTCAAACCCACCAGCTTCTCCACAGGAAGAAGATGAGGCAATCTACTTCTGTAAAGATTTCCAGCCTTGGAAACCTAACAGGAGTCGCTATGACTCGGAATCAACTGGATGGCAGTGGGTTTGGTTTGGTTTTGGTTGAAAAGATGTTTTCGAGGTATAGCAAGGATTGTCAGGATGACACACAACCGGGCAGTGTTTTGTACTGTTGTACATAGGGTTGCTATGAGTCAGAGCCGACTCCACGGCACTGAACAACAAACAGCAACATGAGTCGGAATCAACTCGATGGTAGTGGGTATGGGTTGATTTTGGTTGAAAAGATATGTTGATAGGGCATAGTCATTGTCAAGAGATTTATGTCCAGTGCAGTGTGGCCAAAAGTTTCAGGGCTCAGTAAGCAGGAATAGGCAATAATAAAGTCATTTAATGACCATGCACACAAAAATATCTTCATTTTGTATAGAGCCAAAAAGTGACCATTGTGATTTATTTTTTTTTAAAAAACTCATCCATTTATAATTATTTGCTTTATGTTTAAAAAGCCCCAAAACCCACTGCCATCAAGTTGATTCCGACTCTCACAACGACCCTATAGGACAGAAAAGAACTGCCCCATACGGTTTCCAAGGCTGTAAATCCTTAGAGAAGCTAACTATCACATCTTTTTGCTGGAGTGGTTTGGTGGGTCCAAACTGCCAAACTTTTGTTTTAAATCAGACTATTTTCCCTAGTAAAGCAACAATTGAGTAAGTTCCAAGAAGCAACCTCAAGTAGTACATGTACAGTTATTTCTTCCCTTGCTTACCTTAAGTTTATGATTGGAGATAAAACACTAATTACATTTACCATAATGAGATTCAACATTACCATAATAAGATTCACTAGTGGCAAATGAGTGAAAAATATATTTTCTAAAACAATGAAACTCTACTGTTCTAGTATTGTAGTTGCCCTAAGGCATTGGCTAACCAGCAGGTTGGCGGTTCAAACCCAGCACCCACTCCACCGAAGGAAGATTTCCTTAAAGATTTACTGCTTCGGAATCCCAAAGGGGGTCGCCTCCATCCAGTGAGTTTGGTTTTCTCGGTTTTAGTATTTGCCCCTAAGGTGCCCCTGGTAGTACAATGATTAAGCACTTGGCTGCTAACCAAAAGGTCAGTGGCTTGGCTCACCTGGAAGAAAAGAACAGGCTGGCGATCTGCTCCTGTAAAGATTATAGCCTAGAAAACGCTATAGGGCTGTTCTACTCTCTTTCAGGGTCGCCGTGATTCGGAATCCACTTGCCTGCACACAACAACAGTTGTCCCTATTAAATTTGTATTTTGAAATGTTCATACCCGTTACCTGTGAAAAAGCTAACAATCATTGGTTTTAAAACAATAAACCTGACAATTTAGCTTGTGATAAAGAAAATGAAAAACAAATCAGCGTAAATGTTTTGCGTATCAGATGAACTGCATAGCAAGAGAAACTGCGTGCATTTCCAAGGAAACATAGTGTTAACGAATCTTCTGTCAAGACGCTTCCAAACTTACTTTTTAGTATGGTCCTCAGCTAGGATGTGTGCTTCTGAACTCGTTCCATAGCGGGCGCTAACGAGAGGAACCGGCGTGTTGACGCTCTGATGCGGTTGCGTACGTTTAAGTGCTTCCCGCTCTTAACAGTTGGGCTAAGACTTTTAACTGCCATCTGACGCCCCAGGGTTGGTTTCTTATTCTGTCTGGTGCCCCCTGGTGCTTATCACTTGCACCCTCTTGAGTAGCTGCGAGGAGTAAAGGGGTCCAGGGAACATAAGGATGCTTTTAAGAAAAGCGTTCCATTTCTATTAACTGTACGGATCCATATTTCCACTGAATCTAGAGCCTTGGTATAAATTACGTGTACGCGTTCAGCCACCTCTAGAGAAAGGCAGGACGTTGTTTTACTAAAGCCACTTAGCAAAAGAAAGATGGAAAATAAGTTCCAACCAACGACGTAGGCAGAAGTCAACTAAGTTCTCTCAAGTTTGTGGTAAAAGAGGCAAAGATACGTAGACCGTATTTTTTCTTAGTCTCCCTCCCCACTTCGTTTTCCTCTGTCAAAGCAAAGAAAGATTTACCATGATTCTGGATTTCAGTAGGGCAGCCCATTTATGAGAGCCAGGATATCTGTGTGGGCATAATTGCTATGGAAGGGAGGATAAAAGATAAAAGATGATTCTCCCTGTCTCCTTCTCCAATCCATTTAATCAATATTAATGTTATGCGCATTCTTCAAAGTTCCTTTTACCCTATAGAAGGAGTCTTATTCTCCTCTGACTCCCTGAGCTCAGGCTCTGGTTATCCGGTTTTGCCCTTCCCCTCCACCCCCACATCCCCACAGTCACTCAACAAGACTGCGGCTCTCTCTCCATTAAAGAACAACAGATCATTTTTCATTGCAGGGTAACCCAAAGAGATCTCTCGCCTCAGCAGAGCATGATGGGAGTCACTTATCTCGTTCTCCCTCCCCCTTCTTTTTCTTCTTCTTCTTTTTTTTTTTTTCCTGTTCCTTCCCTTTTTCCACAATTAATCTCTAAATAATGATTTTCCTAGCTAGCGCCGACTTCAGGACGGGATTTAGCGACCCACGATGACGCTCCCATCAGCCTTCCAGAAGGGGCGATTTCCAAAGAGAACTACAACTCCCATGAGGCATCGGTCTAAAACAACCGCAGAGTATCACGGGAGTCGTAGGCGCTTTCTTCCTCAATTCCTTTAATTCTCCGATTTCATAAACTACAAATCCCAGGGAGCCTCAGTACTGGCAGGCTTGCGCGAGAGTCCAGAGAGTGAGGTGGGGGTGGGGCTGCCCCGGGCGGCGGGGGGCGGGGTCCGAGCGGGTTGTGTGGAGGCTTCAGACTCCCGGCGCCATTTAGCGCGGAGAGTTTCCCGGGCGGACGCGGCTCATCTCTTACGGCCTCTCCGCACCCCCATCTTCGGTGACAGAAGGTGCTTGGTGGGGGTGACTACTCTTCTCTCCCAATCCCCTTTTACCCAGTCCTCTCGGTCTCCTCTACTCTCGGCCCAGAGAAGCAGCGGAGCTCGGGCCCCGCGGTGAGCGGCCCTCCCCTCCCCACCGTTCCCTCCCTCCGTCAGCCCCCGGCACCGGCCCGGGAGGAGACGAGGGTTTGCCAGGCCCGGGGCGGGCGGGGAGGCCTTGGGGAAGGGGGGGCCGCTCCTCAGGCACCGAGGCTTCGAGGCTTTGGCCCTTCCCTTTTGAGCGATGGGCGCCCTGTGAGACCGGTCCCCCTCATCGGGGGTGGATGTAGGAGGCGACTGACTGACTCGGAGTCCTCAGACCCGGCCTTCCCCAAGTCTTCTTCAGCCCCTCCCACTCTCTTTTGCCCTGGAGCTGCCACCGCGGGGGAGTCTTTGCTCGTCCCTTTCTCGCTTTGCCGCCGCCCTCAGGGCCTAGCCGGCCCAGCTCGGAAGCGGCGGCGGCGGTGGGGGGCTGGAGCCGTCGCCGCATCTGCAGCATCCGCTTCGACTCGGTGCCGGCTCCTTGCCCTGCCCCTCATGACTGCAGCACCTCTGCTGCTACAATCTTCCTGGCTTCCCCTCGCCGCAGGATGGATGCGGACCGTAAGGCGCTAACCCTCGTGGCTTCACTTCTGAATTGCCCGCCGACGAGCCCGCCTCGTGAGCCACAGCAACCTCGGTGTCAGCAGCCGCCGCAACTGGGCCCAGAGTCCCGATTCTCCTCTCGGGCGGCTTGCCAGTGCTGAGTGTGAAGAGTCCTCCGGGTCGATCCGAACCCTCCGGGGAGGAGGAGTCGTAGTAGCGGGGCCCTACCGACCTTGCCCACTCCCCTGGGTCGGCCCTTCACTCTCTTTTTCATTCACAAATTCGAGCTCTTTCGCCTCACTCCCGCGGACCGACCATGTCTGGCGGCGCCGCAGAGAAGCAGAGCAGTACTCCCAGCTCCCTATTCCTCTCGCCGCCGGCGCCTTCCCCCAAGAATGGCTCCAGCTCTGATTCATCCGTGGGGGAGAAACTGGGGACTGCGGGCACCGATGCTGGCACTGGCAGGATTGAGGAGTACCGGCGTCGCCGCCACACTATGGACAAGGACAGCCGTGGGGCGGCGGCGACCACCACTACCACCGAGCACCGTTTCTTCCGCCGGAGCGTCATCTGCGACTCCAACACCACTGCGTTGGAACTGCCCGGACTCCCGCTTTCCCTTCCCCAGCCCAGCCTCCCCGCGGTTGTTCCGCAGAACGTTCCATCAGAGCCCCACCGGGAGGAGACATTGACCGCCGCGGTTGTTTCCCAGGTCGCCCAGCAGCCTCCAGCCGCGGCTGCCCCCGGGGAACCAGCGGTCGCGGGCCCCTCCGCCGCGATTGCCCCCAGCAGTACGAGCAAAGAGCGCCCAGCCTCCCGGCCCAGCCAGGGGGGAAGCAAAGAGGAGCTTCCATCAGGGAGAAGCGGCAGCGGCGGCGGCAGCGCCAGGGAGCCACCGGAGGAGCGGAGCCAACAACAGGATGATATCGAAGAGCTAGAGACCAAGGCGGTGGGAATGTCCAATGATGGCCGCTTTCTGAAGTTTGACATCGAAATCGGCAGAGGCTCCTTTAAGACTGTCTACAAAGGGCTGGACACTGAGACTACTGTGGAAGTCGCCTGGTGTGAGCTGCAGGTAAAGCCCCGCCTACTTCATATTAGGGTGGTTTGGATCCCAAATTTGGCTCGATTTAAGCTGGTTTATCGAGTTCACCCTTTACATGTCATTCTCTGTTGGCTCAGTGAGCGAGGAGCGAAGCCAACTTTTGAGAGGTTGAAATGAGAATGTGGAGCATGTAACTAGGTGTTTGAATAGGATAAGAGTGATTGGTACCCAGAGGGATTTGTTACTGGTAAGGGAGGGGGTGGCGAAAGTCATCTTAGTACGAAAGTGTTGTCTACTTGTAATTGTTTAGTGTATGACAGGAAACTTGGAGTTGGGGGGAAGTTTTTGACTTAGGAAAGTACAGAACCTTCTTGCACTATGCATTTCAAATTCTTCAGAGGCTCTGAGGTGATGCGCTGTTGGTGTGTTAGATACGTGTTCTATCTCTGAGAGTAGGTTATTATTTTTAAAATAAAAGATATACAACTTTGTGCATGACCTTCCTTTGGAGATACCTTGGTTGTTGTACAGATATTTAATATAAAAGAATTACATAAAAAAGACTTTCCTCTCTGTCCTTTTTGGATGCTTTGAGACAGTAAGGCACAATTAGTGTTATGTTCCACTTAATGATACTTAAGCCTTATGGTAGCTAGTAGTGATCTGACGTTGTTAATTCAAACTGGTAAGTCTTAAGCACATTCACTGTGCAGTGAACAGTAAAAATGCCCATGTAAAATTGTGCAAGTGCTTTGAGAGTTATGTCATCATCATTGTCTTAATCTTGTAAAATATTTTAAAGTTAGACTTTCCTAAGAGTATGCAAAGGAGTTACGGTGCTTCCTTTTTTAATGTCAGGGAGGTTTTCATGGTGTTAAATAATAATGTGTCATTTTAGGTTTAAACAGCTGAATTTGGGATTCTTCTTGTTTGACTAGTGCCTTGATTGAATTATCCTCATCAGGAAGTGAACATAGGTTATTGGGAGGAGAGTGGTATTGAATGAGATAGCCAGCTATCATTACATAAAAAATGCCATTGTTCTTGCCAAGAAAATGGACCACACTGAAAAAGGATGTGAAACTAGCTGAATAATCTGGGGGACTTATTTTATTCATGAGCTAGTATGTTAACACTTAACCCTTTGAATGTCAGCATTCAAATGACCAAGGGCATATTTAATGTAAAAGGAAATGAACATAGCTTGTGGAAGTCAGCTTAAAAACTGACAAGTTCTTTAGGAGCATAATAAATTCTTAAGTGTTAGTAATACAGAAACTTCCAAGACATTGTGAAATAAAAGCTACTCAATAATTTTATAGTGGTTTAGAATTGGAAAAGTGGCAGACCTTTTTTTGAAATAACATGTTTACTTATAACTTTATTCCTAATGGTCAGTCATACTCAAAGTGTAGGTCTGATTCCTTTTGGTTTATAGGCAAAAATTTAGATAAGAAAGTCTTGTTCTATTTCTTTTTTGTACCAAGGGTGCTTATTGCCGCAGATCCTGTAATTTTATTCTTCTGTTATAATTTCATATTTGAATAGATGCTTTTTAATAATTTTTTAAATTGGTTATCTTAGTTTCTTAAATAAGTCAATGTTGAGCATTTTATGGATTAATTTTGTTAATTTCAGTTGTTTTAAGATGTCTCAAAATGTGTATGTTTTCCTTTGTCATCTGGAAGCTTTTGATAGTTTATAATCTGGGAAGTAATGAGACAGTAGAAAAGACTCAATTTTATCTAATGTCACAGTAAAGTTTGACTAAGTTTCTCATTTTTTCTTAGGACTCATGACTTTTTGGGTTTTCAGTTATCTGTCTATGCATGGACAGGGTCAAACTAAGGAAATTCTGATCTCACATAATATTTTTTAAACAATGCAGGATTTGGCTGCAGCGCCAAGCGGGTCCTAGCTTACTGAGTGGTACTGAGGTTTAATGAAGAAATCCGCTCATGTCATTTGACCTTGCTTCAACAGTTTTTCATTTTGGCTTTTAAAATGTAATTATCCTAGACCAGGGATGCTTTGTAATGGTAGTTGGGGCAATATATAGAGAAACATGTTTTTTGCCCATCATGCCTATTAGTCTTTGAGCGTTTGTCTTTGAATCTGAATTAAGGACAAGGCAAGGGATTACTGAGGCAATGGGAAGAAAGGAAAGCCTTTTTTTCCTAAATGTATACTTTCAGTATATATGTTTTTCTGTAGTAAGACAGACAATATTGTGTTCAGTTGTTAATAATCTTAAAGTATTAAAGCTAGAAGTCATCCAGCTGCTTACTTGATAGATAAGGAACTTGAAACTCATAGAGCAGGTAAATAACTTGATTAGGTTTGTAAATAATTAAACTGGTTAAGATCTAATAGTTTGGGATGTTAAAGTATTGGAAGTCAAGTACATGGCTAATTAGTTTTTCTTAAATGAATCAATGCTATTTGGTATGGAAGTGAAGGTCAGTTTTCTGGAGAAGTCTGGTCCTGTAACAGTGACAAGTTTCAAGCTTAGGTTTTGGTAATTGATTTTATTACTCCAAGGGGAGAAGTAAATAGGCTTTTTGGCAGAGGAGTGGCTGAGTGGAGTATAAATCAAACTCATTTCTATCAAGTTTAATTTTAGACTCACAGTTTGCATAATCGTCTATTCAAATGAGCATCATATCTAGGTAATTCTTTGATACCACAAATCTTAAGTGGTAACTGAATTGTTTTAAGTAAGATGCAAATTTCTTTACCTGCTTTTTTAGGCAAATGGTGTAGCTTAATTTTAATCTTTCTTTGCCTTGGGCAGAAATCTTGCCTCTGTGCTTTCCTGAGTTTACATTGTTTGACTCCTAACTTGCTTGAAATAATCTTTTATTCCTTCTAAAAAGAAGAGCTGAATTAGAGACAGGATGACTTTAGTTAGGTGAGATTTGATTTTAAATACATGTAGATTTATTTCTGTAAGAAATAACAGGGAGCTCTGGTAGCATAGTGGCTAAGGCACTTGACTGCCAACCAGAAGGCTGGCGGTTCAAACCCACCAGCCACTCCTCAGAAGGAAGATGGGGCAATCTACTTCTGTAATGATACTGCCTCGGAAACCCAAGGAGGGGTCGCTATGAGCCAGGTCCGACTCGACGGCACATAACAACAACAACAACAAGAAATAACAGTTGTACAGGAATTGAGAATTATGTTTAGACTGTTTTTTAATCATATAGTTCCTACTTAGTCTTAGGGGTTTTAATAATATTTTCGTTTTCTCTGTTTACCACGATTTTACCTAGTGTAAGAATTTATAAATAGTGGTTGTTTTTGAGTAAGACAGATTGGGAATTTATTGTTGCCTTTTGACTGAGTTCATTTCTTGACATTCAGATTCCGGTGCAAGGTCCTGTTCATTTTATTTGATAGTCATCCTAGTTCATCTCCATGGAAACATTAAACTGAAAATAGGCTCTTACTTTCAGAGATCATCTTAAACCCATTATTTGGGTTTTCTGATAGCTTTTTAACTTTTCGAGAGAGATGTAAAAAGCTACAAGAGTGGTTATACTCAGTAGATAACTTCTGAAAATGTTAAGTTTAGTGTTTGAAAAAAAATTGTAATAGTTACAATTAATAGGTCTTTGCTGTGCCTGTCCTTTAATCAAACATATGACCATTGTGTTCTACAGGAACATGCAGTATAACAACGTAGTTAAGAACTAGAATATACTGGATTCAAATTCTGGCTTGGCTGCATGATTGTGCCATCTTGGGCACTTTCTGTGCTAGTTTCCAGTTGGTGAAATAGGTGTAATAAACTATGATACAGCATCTTTTTTAGGCATTCCTTTTAAGGGTATTTATGAAGATTTTGTTTGATTTTTGCATACATTTATTTTTGAAAAACCATGTAGGAAAACTCTTACTCTAGTTAACCATTCTCATAGGAGGAACATTGAACATAGTAATTTCAAATTCCTTAGCTTTAACTCCCTCTGCCTAACTTTTTAACTCCATGACTTGTCACTTTCCCAAATGCCAGCCTTTCTGAACTGTGTTTTATTTACAGAATTTGCTAAGATCTGTGCTTCCTTTGCATGTACCTGGGAAGTATGTTCCCTTTTGGTGGCTTCCATATGGTGTAGTGCCTAAGGCATTTGACTGCTAGCCAGAAGGCTGGCAGTTCAAATCCACCAGCCACTCCTCAGAAGGAAGATTGGGCAATCTACTTCTGTAGTGATACCCCCTGGGAAACCTAAGGAGGGGTCCCTGTGGGTTGGATCCAACTTGATAGCAGTGAGTTTGGTTTTCGGTTTTATATAAAGCTTTTAGGAGCTCTGGTAGCGTAGTGCCTAAGGCACTTGACTGCTAACTGGAAGGCTGGCGGTTCAAACCCACCAGCCACTCCTCGGAATGAAGGTTGGACAATCTACTTCCGTAGTGATACTGCCTCGGAAACCCAAAGAAGGGTCAGTGTGAGTCGGGTGCGACTCCACGGCACATAACAACAACATGTAACTTTTACAGTATTTATCACATTGCATTGAAATCATTTACGTATGTTGTGGACGTCTCTAGCTTTAAAGCCTTTGGAAGACATAAGTCAGTGGTCAGTATACTTTAATAAAGGGCAAAAAAAAAATTTCCTTTCATTGAATTAGAAATAGATACAGATCTTGGGACTGTTTCATGCATATTCCTTGCATTTCTTTAGTTCACAGCAGATTCTTTTATTTTGTACAGTATTTGTGGAGTTCACGTTTGGTATAATAGAACATTATAACAAAAGGTAAATCTTGAATACCATAAATTGTTGACTTGTACAAGTTGATTGAATATTTTTAACTTCTTATTGTTGGTTTTAGGAGCTTTGTGCTTCCACAGTTTAGGAATTATGTCAAATCTTAAAAAGATGGGCAACTTTTCAGACTGAAGATAAATTGTCAGAAGCTCTACTTAAGAGTATATCTATTTGAAAGACGATTATGCCTTTGAGACGTGGTAGGCTTAATTTTGTATTTGGTTTTAAAAATGATTGGTTATTTGTATCTTTC